TCAAAAGAACTCTCTCACACGATCAAAATACCAAAATAATACCTAGAATTACGAATCGAATACCAAACCAAATGAAATTTTCAAGAAGACTTTAGAGTTGCTATTTTAACAACTGGACGTCCGAATCATGTCAAACCAACTCCCATTCTCACCAAATTTGACAGATAAGTCATAAATATAGTAATGAACCTATACAAGGTTTCAGAACCAAAATACGGACCCGATATCAATAAAGTCAAATATTGGTCAAACCTTCGAAGTCATTAAGCCTTTAAACTTCAAATTTTCAACAAAATACGAAAACTCGAGCTAGGGACCTCAGAATTCGATTCCGGATATACGCCCAAGTCCCAAATCACGATACGGACCCACCGGGACCATTAAAACACAGATCCGGGTCCATTTTCCTAAAACATTGACCGAAGTCAACTCAATTAGAATTTAAAGGCAAAATCCCATATTTTATCAATTTCTAACATAAAAGCTTTCCGTAAAAATGCTCGGACTGTCCAAGCAAATCGAGAAACGCTAAAATGAGATATTGGAGGCTTCGAAATAGTGATTTAAGGTTTAAAACTCTAGTTGACCTACAGGGTCGTCACATGGCATGAGCGGTGAGATATTTTTGTTGCAAGTCCAAGTACCCATGTGAATGGTCTAGAACTTGGCCCGAATGTGCTTCAAGGCAAAATCTAAAGTTTTGCTTGGCTTGAGAAGTGATTGTAGGATGTCGTTGACCCGCTTGAATTTTCCATTTCCTACCAATATAGTTATCCCTAGTCAACCCATTTGAGCCTCGAGTCTTTCTCATTTGATAACCATGTTGCAAGCCTTTACTCGTTTTGTCGTGACCCTCACTTGGCATCCGAGATTTCCCTAATACTCTTGTGAAACAATTAGCTAAAAACATAAGTTTGGGGGAGAGACGAGGAAGTTGAAAGAGGTATCAAGGTACAAAAAGAGAAAAGAAATGATGAGAAGGAAAGTCACGAAAAGGAAAGAACAAAAAGAAAAATGCAAAAGAAAGTGAATAAGTTGAAGGGTTGAAGGGATTCAAAGAAAAGTAATGATACAAAGCATGGAGAAATCAAAGAGGGAGAAAATGAATGTCATGATCAAGAAGGAGTGATGTTAAGTCTCTCTAGTTCCCCAAGGAAAAGAAAGTTCTTCAAAGAATTGGCAAAGCATGAGACGAGAACAAAAAAATGGAGTGCTTAAGGAAAGATAAACCCGCTCTACCATAGTATACCAACCTTATTCCAATAGCCTTCATTACATCCCGAAAATGCCCTACGTGATTTCAAGTCGAATGATCTTACATTAGTGGCAATCTACATGAGGGACAAGCCTATGGTACTTAAAGCCGTACTTGCGACATTTTCCTAAGAGAGATGAGTGAACCTTTCACAAAGTCTTTGGATTGAGTGCTTAAATTCTTAAGTGAGATAGGCAAACGGAGAGTAGAGGAGGAGGAGTTTGGGATCCATAGTGACCTACATGAAAGAGCGAGTTTCCTTGATGAATAAAGTAATCTCTTGATGCTCAAGTTTTACATTAGAACTATATGTGCATAAAGGTTTAACTTGTTGCCTTGTTTAAAATACATAAGTAGTGTGGGTAATTGTTGGTCCCAATTGATGTATGAATGAATCACCTTTGATTGGCTGGAATGACCCTTAACTTGTGGAGGTGGGAACTATTTTATTTGCAAAACCTTAAGTTTGGGGGAGTTGATAAGTGGGGGTTTTGACTACTTATTAGCGCCTTTTAGCTTTTGTTTTAGTCTAAAAGTGTTTAATTATGTTCTCGAAACTGATGAAATGTGCGAAATTGCAGGAATATTGGATGTTAGACTCCTGAGATGAAATCCGACTCAAAAAGGAGTAATAAAAACACAAGGCAACAGAAGGCACAAGAGCTCACAAAGTACGGACCGCAGAATTCCATCTGCGGCCGCAAATGATGAAGGAAATCCTAGCAGACTTTCCGAAAAACTGCGGACCACAAACGAAAAGTTGGAGACTAACTTCAGAGGAAGAGAAAAATTTTCAAGTTTAGAGTTCCTCAAGATTGCGAACCGTACAAGAATTGTGCGGCCGCAGAAATAAAGATGCGGACCGCAGAAGAACAGATTGCAACCGCAATGATAAATCTGTGGACCGCAGAAACATTGCCTTGCGGCCGCAATGGAGAATTGTGCGGCCGCAAAGTCCTAGCTCCTGCAAGATGAAGACTTCTGCGGACCGCACATAGAATTGTGCGGCCGCAGAACCTCCCGAAGGGTATTTTTGTCTGAAATTTCCAACCCTGTATAAATAGACGACTTTCACAAAATTATGTCAACTTTTGACATCAGCAACTCCAGTAGCTATTTTTTTTTGCTTCTTTTAGTAGTTTTCTATATTTTGGGATAATTTAACATAGACTTTAGCATTTTGATTTTATAATATTAGTTTAATTAGCATTTCTTGTTTTATTTCAATTTCAAGCATGTGTAACTAGATTTTTACTATGATTGTGACCCAACCCTAGTGTGTAAACCTTATGGGTGTATAATTTAATACTTGTTTATGGTTGGGTGTTTATTATTTAGCCTTGTTCATGCTTTAATTTGTGGAATTAATGGTTGCAAATATTAGTTCATGCCTATTTGACTTAGTCTCTACTTGAGAAAGATAGACTTAGTCTAGGAAAACTTGGCTAACAAGGAATAGGGTCAATTGAGAGATTAATCAACCCAATTAAAATGTTCAACCTAGAGATAGTAATAACCCGACTTGAGCTTTTATCAAATATTTTGTGCAATACCCATTTGGACTTGAGAAAGCCAAATTGGGAAAAATCACTCTCTCACCAAAAGGTATTGAATGGGTAATTGAGAGTTGATAGCTATAATACACCCCGATTAACAAAACAAGTATTAAGGTTTATATCCCATTAGGCAAACACCTAGGCGATGATCATAGCCCTAGGCCTTTTACAATACTTGGAAAAATACAAAAAAAATTTCTTAGTTTTATTTCTTAACTTTGAAATCTTAGTTTTAAAATAGATATAGAAACAACCTCAATTTGTGAAAGTGTAAATTAAGGAAGTTCAAACTCACATACCACAATATATACACCTAACTCCCATATATAGCTCCATATGGAAATCGACCCCGCCACTTGTTGGGTACTACTATTGCAATCGACCGTTTCATATCCTTGATTTGAGGTGTGAATTAGACGAGACCAGTCACCCGCAAGGATGAACCGGTCGTAGAGAGGTCGAATGAAAAAGAATCGGGGACTAACCCCAAGATCATAAAGATGCTCGAGGAACTGAAAAAACGAGCAGAATCAGGGGAGAAGAAAAGCAAAGCTAATGAAAAAAGGTGGAAACCTACAATTCTAGGGTAGACCAAATCCCAGGAGCGTCGCCGATATTGAAAGGCCTGAATTCCAAGAAGTTCGTGCAAAACCCTTTTCCTCCGAGCGCGGCTCGAAAGCCGATCCCTAAGAAATTCTGCATGCCCAATATTCCTAAGTATAATGGAACGACCGACCCAAATAAGCACGTAACCTCTTACATATGTGCCATCAAAGTCAATGAATTAGAGGATGATGAGATCGAGTTTGTCCTGTTGAAGAAGTTCGGGGAGACCTTGTCAAAGGGAGCTATGATATGATATCACAACTTACCTCCTAATTTTATTGACTCATTTGCTATGCTTTCATATTCTTTCGTGAAAGCACACGCTGGGGCCATCAAGGCCGAGACCAGGAAGTCAGACCTTTTCAAAGTAAAACAGAATGATAACGAGATGATCAGAGAGTTTTGTCCTGGTTTCAAATGAAACAGATAGACTTGCCATCGGTCACTGATAATTGGGCCGTTCATACTTTCACTGAAAGACTCAATATTCGGAGCTCATTGGCTTCACATCAGTTGAAACAGAACCTGGTAGAATATCCGGTCGTCACTTGGGCCGATGTACACAACCGATATCAACCGAAAATCAAGGTCAAAGATGATTAGCTTAAGGCCCCTTCCAGTTCTGTATATCTTGTTAGAACCGTCGATAGAATCAAGAGAGACATCGATAGTAAACCGAGATCAAACAGGGGTCGGTATCATCCATATAATAGAGACCAAAGAAGTAGCGAGTCCGGGCGGAACTCTATGAGAAATGAAAGAAGAAGTGATGGAGGTTAGAGTAACCGAGGAGTCATGAGAAAAAATAGCTTCAACAGGCCCGTCGAGCCTAGAGAAGTGCCGAGGTTATCGGAGTACAACTTCAACATCGATGGCGCCACTATTGTATCCGCTATCAGACGCATCAAAGATACCAAATGACCTCTACCTTTACAGTCCGATCCATCCCAAAGGGATCCCAACCTAATGTGTAAATATCACGGCACTCATTGCCACAGAACAGAAGACTGCCGACAATTAAGAGAAGAGGTGGCCCGACTGTTCAACAATGGGCATATCCTAGAATTCCTGAGTGATTGGGTCAAGAACCACTTCAGGAACATAGATTCTAATAAGCATACCAAACATGAGGAACCTCAGCACGTCATTAACATGATCATCGGTGGGGTCGACATTCCCTAGGGGCCGATGCTGAAGTGCACCAAAGTATCTATCACAAGAGAAAAATAGACTCGAGATTACGTACCGGAGGGAACCTTCTCTTTCAACCACGAAGACATTGAGGGAATCGTGTAGCCCCACAACGACACATTGGTAATATTAGTACTTGTAAATAAATCTTGAATACGTGTGTTAATTGATCCAGGTAGCTCAACCAACATCATCAGATGAAGGGTCATGGAACAACTCTGCCTACAAAACCAGATCGTACCAACGGTTTGAGTCCTAAACGGGTTCAACATGGCATGCAAGACCACTAAATGGGAGGTAATATTACCAGTAAACGTCGCCAAAATCGTTCAGGAAGCCAAGTTCTATGTAATCAAGAGGGATATGAGATATAACGCTTTGTTTGGGAGGCCATGGATACACAACATGAGAGTAGTGCCCTCGACACTGCACCAGGTGCTGAAATTCCTAACACCCAGTGGAGTCAAAATAGTTTATGAGGAACAACCGTCCGCCAAGGAAATGTTCGTGGTCGATGAAGTGATACCGACATCCACAATATCAATATTGAAGGATCCGAACCATATGGTCAAGGACAGGGCCAAATAGCAATCACTGATAGAGGCCTCGGCAGAATCAGAGGAAAGATGGGTAGATGAGGACGATGACTATGGGGTCCCCCGATCTTTCATCGCCCCCCGATGACTCCGACGCTACAAAATCAATAGTCGAGGAGCTGGAACGAGTTGTATTTTGTGAACACTTGGCCGATCGAACGGTATACCTAGGCACGGGGTTAAGCCCCGAGCTAAAAAAAACCCATTAAATTTCATATAGCTAATGAAGATTGTTTCGCTTGGTCCCACCTTGATATGACAAGGATCCCACTGGAGATAACCACTCACAAGCTAAGCCCGGACCTGAAGTTCCACCCAATCAAGCAGAAGAGGAGATCCCAGTCCGAGGTCAAACATACTTTCATCAAGGATGAGGTATTTAAACTCCTTAAAACATGGTCTATTCGGGAGGTTAAATACCCGTATTGGTTAGTAAATGTAGTGGTAGTCCCTGAAAAGGAAATAAATTAAGAATGTGTGTAGACTATAAGGATTTGAATAAGGCATGTCCCAAGGACTCCTTCCCTTTTCCCTACATGGATCGCATGATCGATGCCATGGCCGTCCACGAGATCCTCAGCTTTCTCGATGCCTACTCCGGGTACAACCTGATGGTAGGCTATAGCTATGTATTTTGGCCACTATTTGCATTCTAATTTGCTGCACTTTACTGATGTTTGAGTGTTAAATGGTAGTAAATTGCTCTGACTAAGTGCTTTATGATTTGCAGGAGAAATTGCGGGACACAATGGGGTTAGGAAGCGTTTTGAGCTAATATGGAGTTTTGGAGGCCAAGTAAAAGCTTATGGAGTACATTAGGAGCTCGTTCGAGGATCAACGGAGGTTCGCGCACTAAAAAGGAAGAATGAAAATGAGAGCTGAAAATGGCCTAGGTGCGTAGCCGCGCACTGACCGCGCACTAGGCCGCGCAAGTCAAGAAGAAGCTATCAAATGTGCGTGGCTAGATGCGCGGTCGCGCACGTCCCTCCGAGAAAATATTTTGAAGGGCTAAAATTGTAATTTTGGGGGCGACTTTCCTTGACCTATATCTAGCCCAGCTCGTCTAAAAAGAGGGTATCTTGGTTTTTAGGAGAGACTTTTGAGGGAGAAGAAGGATGGAAGCAACAGGAAATCGAGATACTTGATTCAATTCACTCAATACGAAAGTTTGGGTTGAATTTGGGAATTGTAATATCTTCTTGTTCTTCTAACACTCTCGTTTTGAATACTTTCTTCGTTGTAGAGTAATTATCCTCAAGGTTGTTGACGGATGTTGTGAATTGATTATTGTTTTGGGTTTTACTCTATGTTAATTGCCCGACTTTACTGGATGAGTTCTTAATTGAATTGTAAGGTTTATTGTAGTTTTACTTTAATCGAAAGAGAAATTTACTGCTATTTGCTTTGTGTTATCTTAATTGGATTGATTTTATGCCTTTTCTAGATAATCGAAAGAGCTTAAGGGGTTATTGATTTACCCAATTCAGGAGAATAATCGAGAGGTGTTCTCCGAAAGATCATTCATTCACTATTTTCGTGCATACATTCATAGGGCCTACTATTAGGCTAGTTAAAGGAATCAAATTCATTCGGAAGAAGAATTGAAATCTCTGAAGTAGCCTAATCATCTGTTGAAATCGAGATAATCAATAGAAGCTAAGATTGAATTTAGCATAGAGTTAACCGGAACAATAGTTGATTACATATCTTGTCATCACCCTTGCCTCTCTCATCAATATTCCTTTGTTATTAATAATAATTCGGGTATCACCAGTTTCTTACAGCTGATAATCTTTGTTTATTTGTAGTCACTAATAACATAAATCAAAACGTTGATTATCCTGGAAAGTGTTAATCTAAAGAATTAATAAAACATTATTGAAACTAATCCATACGGAACTATCTTTGACTAGCGAGCCCAAGTTTATACGCCGGTTTTGCGCTCGTCAAATTTTGACGCCGTTGCCGGGGATTGACGACTAATAGTGTTTAAATTAGTTTTCAGTGCTAATTCAGGAACTACTTTATTTTATTTTCTTTTTTTATGCTCTTTTCATCTGTGTGCAGCCAACAGGTTAAGTTTAGCGGTGTATGACTCGATCCTCTTCGAAGGACCTGGTGCCATACGACCCAGAGTTAGACAAACACTCGAGGAAGTTGAAAAGAGATAAAAGAGAGAGTGGATTGTTGTTGGGTCAGCCTTCAACTCAGGATAAAATGGTAAACAACGAAGAGATAGTAGACCTAGCTGCCAGAGAGGCAGCTCAGCAATAGGAAGCATGGTTAGCGGCTAAAGCGGCCCGTAGAATTGCTGATGAAATGATTGATGGAGACCGAAGACTCAATCCCAACCGAATTATCGAGGATGCCTTTGAAAATGTAGGTCCTAGGCCTGGGAGATCACCTAATAGGAGCTTGAACTCATGGCAGCAAAATAATCAACCTTAGATTTTGAACTTAAATAGGGAGTCATCCAGACCATTTAGAATAATTCACGAGTTGGAATCAAATTATTGTTGGCATCGATGGGTGAACCCTAGACTATCGTGGAGTTCACCTAATAGGAGCTTGAACTCATGGCAGCAAAATAATTTCAGACCCAAGGGTCAGGGACCACCAGGTTTTCAGAACCAGCAGAGGCAACAAGACCAGCCACCACAACCAAATCAGTCAAATATGGAAGATCGCATGAAGGGATTCATCAACAAAATAAATGAAAAATTCGAGACCCATGGCACGACTATCCGAAACTTAGAAAGGCAAATGAGACAGATTGTAAATTTGTTGTCTCAGAGGGCTCCTGGGACTCTTCCATCCGACACTAAAAAGAACCCGAAGGAAACAATCAAAGCGGTATCTCTGAGAAGCGGAAAAGAATTGACTGATCCAATAGTGAAGGCTAAATCAGAAGTGGTCAACAAGCAGATTGAGACACCATCAGAGGAAAAGAATGAAGAGAAAAAAAGCCAGAATAACGGGGTGCAAAATGAAAATGAAGAAAGTAGACATATGCCAGCTCTACCTTTTCCTCAAAAGATGAAGCGGGAGAAACTTGGCAAGTGTTTTGGGAGATTCTTGGAGATGCTCAAACAACTTTATGTGAACATACAGTTCACAGAGGTACTCACTCAGATGCCCGCTTATGCAAAGTTCTTGAAGAAAATTCTATCTAGCAAGAGAAAATTTGAGGAGACAACAATGGTCAAGCTGAATGCCCACTGCAGTGCTATATTACAAAAAGAAATTCCCCAAAAGTGTGGGGACCCAGGAAGCTTCACCACACCATGCTCGTTGGGGAGTGACAATTTTGACAAGGCCCTTAGTGATTTAGGTGCCTCTATAAATCTAATGCCTCTATTTGTATTCAGTAAACTGGAAAGTGAACTTGGAGTGATCCAATCAATACCAGTGTCCCTACAACTGGCCAACTAGACCACCATTCTACCTGAGGGAATCATTGAAGATATTCTAATGTAGGTGGACAAGTTTGTGTTCCTCGTAAATTTTATTATGGTAGATATGGAGGTGAACAAGGAGGTACCTTTAATTCTAGGGAGACTATTTTTGTGTACAGGTAGAGCCATCCTTGATATTTATGAGGGGCACCTTATGCTTAGAGTGGGAACTGAGAAAGTAGTGTTCCAGATGAAGAGAATGATGAAATACCCCAGTGATGAGGTGTCTGCCTACTCGTGTTTCAAGCTAGATATCATTGGGGAGTTGGCTGAGAAGTACAAGTCTAACAAGTTTATGGGGAATACTCTAGAGAAGTGTATTACCCAGTCTGGCACAATGGATAATGAAGATCATGAAGTAAAGAAAGAGGCTGAAGCTCTTGAAACTGAGGAGCAAGTGATTGATGAGGAGGAAATAAAAGAGGAAGTTTTTAAGCCCAATGTGGAATTGAAAGTCCTCCCCACTCACTTGCAATATGGTTTTCTTGAAACTAACAACTTTCCTGTGATTAGTTTTGCTGATTTGACAGGTACACAAGAGCAAAAACTGGTGGAGTTGATGTCAAAGTACAAGAAGGCCATTGGTTGGAGCATAATAGCTGATATTCAAGGAATCAGTTCAGCCATATGCATGCACAAAATCCTTCTAGAAAAAAATAGCAAGCCAGTGGTGCAACCTCAACGCAAGATGAACAAAAATTTGGAGGAGGTAGTGCACAAGGAGATCATCAAATTGCTAGGTGCGAGAGTAATTTTTCCCATCTCTGATAGCCAGTGGACCAGTCCGATGCAAGTTGTACCCATAAAGGGGGAGGGGGGGGCATGACAGTGGTGAAAAATGAAGATAATGAATTTATCCCCACAAGAACAGTTATATGGTGAAGAATGTGCATTGATTATAGAATGTTGAATGAGGCAACAAGGAAAGACCACTTTCCACTCCCCTTTATTGATCAAATGCTCGAGAAGGTGGCTGGACACGGATGCTACTGCTTCTGGGATGGGTATTCAGGCTACAATCAGATACCCATTTCTCCAGAAGATGTTGAGAAAACCACATTCACTTGCCCGTCAGATATTTTTGCTTACAGGAGGATGCTGTTTAGGCTATGTAATGCACTTGCCACTTTTCAGAGGTGCATGATGTCTATATTCTCCGACTTAAACGGGAAGCGTCTAGAGGTGTTCATGGATGATTTCACCCTTTTTGGTGATGACTTTGAGGATTGTTTGTTGAATTTGAAGCTCGTGCTTGAACGTTGTGAAGCTACTCACTTGGTTCTTAATTGGGAGAAGTGTCACTTCATGGTAAAGGAGGGAATTATCCTGGGCCACAAGGTAACTATGCATGGAATTGAGGTTGACAAAGCTAAGGTGGATGTTATTGCTAGGCTCCCTCCCCCGACTTCGGTAAAGGGCATAAGAAGCTTCTTGGGACATGCTGGGTTCTATAAGAGGTTTATAAAAACAAATTCTAGCATTACCAAGCCGTTGACACAATTGCTAGTTAAGGATGCCAAGTTTATTTTCAATGTGGAGTGCTTAAGAGCATTTGTGTTGATAAATAAAAAACTTGAAGTGCTCCTATTATGGTGACACCTGATTGGAGCCAGCCATTTGAGATAATGTGTGATGTGAGTGATGTAGCTGTAGGAGCGATTCTGGGGCAACGAAGATATAAAATGTTTAGACCCATATACTATGCAAGCATAATCGACCAACAAAACTACACTCCAAATCCTCAAAAAAGGTTAGCTGACGCCAAAGGAAAATGGAAGGAAATCCTACCCGAAGTCTTATGGGCATACCATATGACCTCGAAGTCCAGTACCAGGGCTACCCCATTCTCACTGGTTTACGGTGCCGAAGCTCTAATACCGGTCGAAGTCGGAGAACTAAGTCTCAGGTTGTGATATGAAACCAAGGAATCAAACGACGAGGCTATGAACACGAGCATAGATCTATTAGATCAATGGCGCGTGCAGCCCTTGTCCGATTAGCCGCCCAAAATAGCGGATCGAGAGATATTAAAATCGAAGGGCCAACCTTCGACACTTCAATGTTAGGGACTTAGTGTTAAGGAAGGTCACACTAAGCACCCGGAACCCGAACGAAGGGAGCTGGGGCTGAAATGGGAAGGACCTAATTAAATTGTCGAGATCACCGGTAAAGGATCGTACAAACTCGGAACAATGAACGGTGAGCAATTACCGAACAACTAGAATATAGCTCACTTGAAACGATACTACTACTAAGGTACGACCCGATTCTTTCCTTTTATTTATTTGCATTTCGAACTAACACTTGTTGGCAATCATCAAAGTATGATACAATCTTTAGTCCGGAAAGCATGCATTGCACTCTTTTTCTCTTGAACCGGTTTTGTCCAAAATGGGTTCTCCGGCAAGGTTTTTAACGAGGTAACAGTAAATCGTGCTATCTTAGAATTTAAGGTTGGTTACGAACTAGTATCAAAGATAACGACAACAGTGTTCAAGGCCTCTCTACGATCGACCATGAACACTGGGGGCATTACCATCGGATAACGACTTTAGAAAGGAAAGAAACTTTATGATTGAATAGTCTCGGATCGATCGATAGGATTGACTGTAAGGGCCAACCGGTCAAATGAACCGTGCCTGCATAGACTGCTCAAATCCTGGCACAAAGCCTGTACACATGTGTAACCATTACGCACAAGAATAAAAAGAAGTCTCTACCTTGCGGATAAATGTCTTGTCCCTTAAAATTTTCTCTTTTTTGTTTCCTCCTAAGGAATTTCCTACATTCGATCCCCTAAATGTATCGAGCCCAAGGGCCGCCTTTATCAGGGTTCAAACAATCACTGCCAATCGGGGACTGCCGTCCAAAAAAAACTCGGACGGCTCGGGCTAAGGAGGCCCGGGGCACAAGACCTATTAGGCAATGCCCGAACCTTAAAGGCTACGGCCATCCCCATTAGGGGACTGTTATCTAAGGCTAACCTGGATAACTCGAGGTAACAAGACCTTGGGAAACACCCAAACTAAAAAAGCTACGACCATATTTAAATGCCTCGGAGACATCCGTGACATGTAATAAAAAACGAGGCCTTGAAAAATTGCTAAACCGGTTCTAAAGGCTACACTCGACAAATTATAATAAGTACTTTGTGTGACGTTTCCGGTCATACCAAACCCCCACGATGCCTTAAACAAAATAATGTCGAAGGCAAGGCCTGTTTGAACCTCCGATCAAGACCTAACTATTTCATGCTGAGGCGTTTTGATCTTTGCAAATATAAATAATAAAGCAAAGTATACAACAAAACTCAGAGATTGTCGAAGGGAAAAACAAGACTTATATTAAATATACAGTCTTTACAAATGCCAAATGGCCTTAACAAAAAGTACAAAAGTGCACAAGTACAAAAATACAAAAAATGTACAAGGCACTTAAACGGGCTGGTCTTCACCGGAGCCCACCTCGTCGCTAGGGTCTTCAGAGTATACTACACCCTCGGATCCACCGGAGCCCTCGGAGTCTCCTTCTTCTTCTTCTTCCTTGGGGTAAGCCAGAGTCTTGGCCTCGCCCTCGATCCCCTTAGCGGTTTCGATCTCGGTCGACAGATCAAAAACCCAAGTATGAATCTGCTCGAGGGCCTCTCTTCGTGACTGCCATTTCTTATATTCAACAGTGTCTTTCAAGAGGTCTTGTGCTGCCTCGGCCTTATATTGGGCCACCATTTCATCGGCATTGGCTTTAACAACAAAGACCGCCGACTTGGCTATTTCTAACTCCTTGGCAAGATTTCCTCAATCGGAGACGGCTACACTTAGCAGAGACTGGACCTCCTCAACCCTTTTGTCCTGCACCTCGGCCTTTTACTTTACCTCTCGAAGCTGGGCCTCAGCCAAAGCCATCTGCGCCCGAGTAGTCTCCTTTTCCGAGGCCAAGAGATCCATCCTGCCCATCCATTCATCGGTCTAGGCCTTGACAACGTCCATCTCAGCTCGTAGTTGATTGATCTGATTAATTTTTTGTTGGACCTGCGGATTCCGACCGCTAGTCACCAAGCCTAGATCATCGTCACTAATCTCAAATAAATTTACCTGGTCGACCAAGTCGGCATGCTCCTTTCGAGCCACCTTCAGCTCAGCTCGAGGCTCTTAGCCTCCCCCTCACGCTGCTCACTGAGAAGTTTGTAAGAATATCTCTTCTTAGTGAGCCCTCGGACCTCGACCTCAAGCTGGTTTAGCTTGTCCCGATATTGGAGAAAGGTCAAATGATGAAGCACCGAGGCCTGCAGACTCAAAGAAAAACGTTAAGATTATCTACAAATTATTCTAAGTATGAATTAAAATCATTAAGAGATATTTGAAGTTACCCCATTTAGCGCATGTTGTGCTTCATTGAACAGGCATGGCGCATCTACCTTATTCATCTTAGCTTGGTATTCCTCGGTCACCAAACACTAAAGATAGCTAGCCACCCCTACAGGGCAGAAAGGATCCGGGCATCCTCCGAAATAGAGATAACAATCGACTGCTTCCAGTCGGGATCCACACTCGGAGCTGGGATCCAACTGACCAACTTCAGGCTTGAAGAAGGCCCTCTTGTTCCCGAAGACGTACTCTTCTTCGGCACCTCCAAGTCACCCAACTTGGTGACGTCCTCTGTGGTGGTAGAATCCACACCATTTAAAAAGCAGAAGAAGGGGTCGTCCGCTCTATGGCCCCCTCATTGGAACGTTCCTTCACCGTCTCAGCCTCGTTGTACATGCACTCAGTGAACCAAGGCGACTCGGTGATGTCGATCACACCATGAGCTTCATTCGGGGCGTCACCCACATCTTGAGAAGCTTCGGCCATGGCCTCCTCGTCGGCCTCCCTAACTTGAGGAAGATCGGCCTCATCTCTCACCGGTTTGGAGGCCCCTTTCCCTTCGAGTTGTGACGACACCCGGGCCACCAGCTTGAAGGCTTCTACTTCTTTTTCT